TAGAATGCCTTTTTATTCTCTTGCAGACAAGGCCAGAGACAAAATAAGAAAAAAAATAGTCATAGATCATGCCAAAAAACATTTCCCAATATAGGGTCATCTGTGCTGTGTGGCTAACATAAACAGTGGGAGCCCCTTTATAATTTTGAAAATCCTAGTGGAAAGACAGAAGAAATTTAGACAAGAGTTACAGATGTTGTGGTGCCGCCGCAGCGGAGCCGCTCCGTCGGGGCCGTACCCACCGCCGTGACGCCGCCACCGGTGCCTCGGATTCCCCGCCACTCTCCCGAGGCCGGTGCTCTCTCAGACGTCCGCTTGTGGTGCCGCCGCAGCGGAGCCGCTCCGTCGGGGCCGTACCCACCGCCGTGACGCCGCCACCGGGGAGTGACGACGCCGACGCGGCACGCCCTCACTGCCCCCCCCCCCCCCCGCATGAATGCACGCACGCCCCACACACGCACGCCCCACACACGCACGCCCCACACACGCACGCCCCACACACGCACGCCCCACACACGCACGCCCCACACACGCACGCCCCACACACGCACGCCCCACACACGCACGCCCCACACACGCACGCCCCACACACGCACGCCCCACACACGCACGCCCCACACACGCACGCCCCACACACGCACGCCCCACACACGCACGCCCCACACACGCACGCCCCACACACGCACGCCCCACACACGCATGCCCCACATAGGGCCCGCGGGGTGGGTCACCTGGCCGACGGGTTTTCGTCCAGAAGCCCCTAATGGGATCAAGCTTCGTGGTTTCCTGCGGCCGGGGAATTGGGCGACCTACCCCCGAGGCTGACCAGCACCGCGGCGCCGTGACCTGATATTATAATGGCATGGTTACGGCAGGGGCGGTAAAGCCACCGGGGAAGAGATCACACACACACACACAGCACGGGTCAGTGGACTGGTAGCGGGAAACCAGAGAGCGGACGTCCAAGAAACCACTGCGGTGACGTCACCAGAGCGGTGATCCGAGGGCGGGAAAACCCAGACATCTGATTGGACATTGGAGTACGGGGTGCGGGAACAGCGGGACGCCTTTGTTATAGGTAGGATTAGGGATCCAAATGACAAAGGGACAGGAATATCCCAGCCTCTGATTGGACAGGGAGGCATGGGCGCAGGAACAACTGAATGCCTTTTATTATAGGTGGGATTATAGATCCGAATATCAAAGGGCACAGGTGCACGGGTGCGTGCACCGCGGAATGCCTTTGTGGTAGGGAGGATAAAATGAAGAGGATTGAGGCAGTAAAGATAGTTCTTCCAGTCATCGAAGTCCACGGAGCATTGGAGCCGGCCATTCGGATCGTCCGTGTGACGAGTTTCAGCGCAGCCAGGCACGATCTTCTACGGAGACGACCCACAGCATCGCCATTCTACAACTTCCAGCGCATCAGAGTGGAAGTAAGCGCAAGTAAAAGAGAGAGGTAAGTTTGGGCTATTTAATCGAGGGTAGAAAGCGGAGCGATAGGCAGGATAAGTTGAATCTAGGATCCTCGAAGGATAGGCTAGCGTCTACTGACCCACGCAAACCCACGTAGTTTAGCGGGTTACTCGCGGTGAATAAAATAGCTAGTAGGGGGATAAACTGTGTCGTGTGGTTTTTGTGAGTGTGAAGAGGAGGGTGGAGTGTCTTGCGTTCGCGTGCACGTGCGTTTGTTAACAACGAGGCGGAGCGCTTAGCGTGCGCGTGCCTACGCGGCTGTTTACGGGAGTGCTTAGCGCGCGCGTACCTGTGCGACTCTTTTGCTGTCGCGTGCATGCACGGTTGTCTATAGCGAGGTAGAGAGCTAAGCGCCTGGTGTGCGCGTATACGCGCGGCTGTTTAAACGGCCCTTTAAATCGGAGCGGAGTGACTCCCTCCAATCAGCGGCGCGCGCACGGCAGACGCCCCTTGCCCTCTCACCCCCGACCCCAACTCCCTCGCGTGTGATTGGTGAACGGGGCTGGGCAGGTAGCGGCGTCGGGTTTGTTATTGCCTGGGCGCGTAGAGCGTGTGTGTGAGGGAGTCACGCGTCGGCGCACCGTACCCGTTTGTTCACGTGCGGGACTGAGTCTTGCTTTGCGAGCACGCTCACTGTGGCATGCCGCCACTGAATCCGTGTAGCGTATCGTAAACGTAAAGACGTCTGCCTCACCAATTGAAACATGCCTACGCGGGCGGCCGCAAAGTCGGGGGCGCAAGGGGGCGAAGAATTGGGGGTCGGTAGCCCGGACCCCACAGAACAGCCAGGGGGGGTAGTGGGACGAATGTAACGGGGGAGTCGGGGGACAACGGCGCCAACAATTCGGTGATGGCGGGGGACGGTAGCCCCCACAATGTCGTGAGATAAGATAAATCATAGAGAAAAAATAGAAATGCATTGAGATGAGAGAGGAGAGATTCGTGTAAGACAGATGTCATAAACGTGACAGATGTAGACACGCTCCAGGGATGTTAGTGAGATGAGAAAAGAGATGCAGATGAGAAAGGGGAGACATTTTACTTGTAGAATGTAATATTAATGTTGATATGAGCAGCCCTTTTTACGGATCTGGGGCCCTTTGGGTTGCGTGGGGTGCTACGATGTTGCTTGGTTTGTTTTCGCTCTGTGCCATCGCTGGTTCACGCAGGGGTCGTGGCCGGGATTTATACACACAGAATGTAGGCCAGAGCGAGCACGCCTCTTGCGCCAGGATCGCTATCAATTTCTCCCAACCCAAACATTTACAACTGCGCCATTAATGATCATAAAATATATCTGGGATACTCTCAAGTGTGAGCTGTGCATGCACACCGTAATAACAGTCCGTGAAAGTTAAAAGTATACCATTTTATACATTTTCTTGGTTTAATACAGCATACGGAATCAACATGGAATGTGTAAAGCGTATCACCGAGATAGAAAATGCTAATGAAATAAAGTTAATTGTTATGCTGAAACATACGATTCACTTCAGAGAGTGGATTCTGGAATATTTCAATGACAGGGAAATATAACATTCAATGAGAAAGCGTCTGTCCATGCTTCGAATTGCTGCAGATATTTTGTGTGCGTGCATTTTTACTCCCTTTGTTTGATTTTATTTAGCTCGAGATAACTCGCTCTTGCCAAACCCTCTCAAATTACAAACAACAGTTTCAACATTGACCATTTAATAATTTCTGACTGCAACAAGGGTGGGCCCGGTACCGCAAGGCGCTGTGAACCCGGCGGCACGAATGTGATTCCCAGCGAGTGATATTGGAACCGGTCCAGGATTCCTCCTTCACCAAACCCGTATTGCCCAGCATGGTGAAGTATGGTCAACCAAACTCTACAATTGACACAGCGTGAGAGGAAAAGGAGGCTTTATCCAACACTGTATTGTCAATGGGTTTGGTTTAAGTGACAACGAATTTAGCAACCACACCTGCCGAGATAACTACTTCCCTAAGGCAGCTGAAGCTACTTTTGCAATGGGTTTAATATTTCATTTAATGATTTTTTCCCCCCAGGTCACTGGTGGCACGTGACAAGTAGCTAAAGCCCCAGCGAAAGGCTTGCCAAGACGTAGCCGATGACCGGGGCAGATCTGCCTAAGATTAAGCCATGCCCTTTGCAAACACCCTCATCAAAAATAGCGCTTCGTGACTCTGCGAGCCAGACAGCAGATCTGGTGAAGGTAACATCTCGTTCGTGACTCTGCGAGCCAGACAGCAGATCTGGTGAAGGTAACATCTTGTTCGTGACTCTGCGAGCCAGACAGCAGATCTGGTGAAGGTAACATCTTGTTCGTGACTCTGCGAGCCAGACAGCAGATCTGAAGGTAACATCTCGTTCGTGACTCTGCCCCCTTTGAGATCCCGTGCATGGGTTCTGTCGGTCTTTTTTTTACCGCCTGTTTCCATAAAGGTATGCGAGTACGTTGTGTACACGTTACCCAGGTGCATGCAACAATATCAGTGGCATCAGAGCACCCAGCTGTGTTGCCGTGATGAGATATGTAGCGATCGGTTCAGCCCCATCACATCGGCGCTGCCGGACGTGGTTGCTGAGCATCCTTCTAACCTCCTGATGCTAATGGCTCCGTCCAACCCCCCCCCCCCCAACTTCCTAAACCTCTGAATCATCATTCAAGTCAAAAGATGTTAAAACAAAAATTAGTGCATTTAAGCGATGGACGTCGCAGCTTTAACTCCGATGCTCAGCTTAACGCAAAATAGACAAAAGCAGACCCCCGAGCGTTACACATTCTGTGTATCATTTAACGATTGTTTCATGTCTTGTTTATGGTCGACTCCGCCGTGACCCTCCAACCCCCCACCCTGGAAGCACGGTCGCGCTGCAGGGTTGACTCGCTGGTGTCAAGGAACTTGCCTATGTCGAGGTATCACCGTGGCATCACGCATGGTGATTCGTACAACAATTTTCAGCCTTGCCGTATCATATTATTTGGTTCTTTCGGTAAAGTCACGTAGGTAGAAAAATAAAATAAAGCATAAATAATCCAGCAGTGGAACTGCTGGATTATTTTTTCCGCCTGAGGACGATTGCTGGTGTTACGATCGAAACGTCGTGATATATTATTTTTTTGTTTTATTTTATTTTTATACCTACCTACGTGACTTTACCGAAAGAACCAAAGAGTATGGATTCCTGCAGTCACGAAAGCTTCAAATCTAGATTTGCCGTATCAGTCAATTCCACCGACTGAACGTTCTGCCGTAAGTCACTTCCCAATGTAACATTTGCCCTCTCTTACACGCACATATATTGCATTGTTTTTCAAGTACAACCACATTATCTTGTACCTGCGATGAAAAATACCGTTCAGAAGGTCACATAGCTGACAATGTATATGCACAAACAAGTAATGTGAAACGTTGGCAATTTTACATACAATATATAAATTGCTTTATATAATAATACATCTTGTAAATATGAATCAAAGGCTACATTAGTGGACAGTGCTGCAAAATCCATTGTTGTACTATACTTGTATGCCCCCCCCCCCCCCCTTAACTTGCGTGAAGTATGGTCATATAATCCTCCACGACTCCCACGGCACCAGGAAGGGCCTTACACAGCAGTGACACCACACACAGGCTATACACGCACATGTGAGCGCAGTTGTGGAATATAACATATGAGATTCCGGATTATTAATGGCCGGGTCAAATAAAGGCACATTCAAGGCACTGGAAGAAATTAAACTTTGGGTGTTTTTTGTTCTGTAATAAAACTGTTTCCCTGCGGTTGGGTGCATATTCTCTGCTAAACGTGGCGAGTGTTGCAGAGGAAAGGTCAACTCTGCTCGTGGCTTGGCGTTTGCGTGTCGGTCATCCGGCCATCCAGATGAGCAGCGAGATGACGAAGGTGATGATAGCGAAGAGAAGGGACGCTCCGCAGTAGAAGGTCAGGGAGAGGCCCAGGGTGGCCCCCACAAAGACGCTGCGCTTGTCCCTCACGCACCTCTTGAGGAACGAGCAGAACTGCACCAAGACGTTGACAGACGAAGGCTAAGAGGGACAGTCCTTACACCCCCTCCCCCCACCTGCATCATGTCCACCACCCTGGTGGACTGTGATGACATACACTACAAAACTCATTGTGTTGCAGGGACGTATCAACAATCCTCCTTTCTGTATTTCCAGATACAAAAACAACATTTATAAGACTGCTATTATATGAATATTTTAACATATATCAAGGGTTAATTTGACTTCTAAAATCACACGAATGCAACTGTTTATTTTTAATGTGTAATACATACAAGGATTCATCGTTCAGTCTCTTGGGGACAAGGTGGATTAGTGGCATAGCTATCGAGTGTGCAGGGAGTGCAATTGCACCAGGGCCCACGTGGATTGTACTGGAGGCACCAGACTATGAAGAATGGAATAATTGGGACAGAGCTGATGCCAACTACACTACGCCAATGAAAAGAAAGTATTTGTGAGAGATCACCTATTATGAAATGCGGGGCGATTGACATGTAAACAAGCAATCAGAGCACATTAAAATTTTAATATAGAAGTTCAACACGATTAAAAAAAAGGCTGTTCAAATGCTTTTGTTTATTCTTACAATAGCATTAAACTACTGGCAAATGCAACCGTACAGGTGGAATCAAATTACGTTTGGAGTGGAGCTGTGGAATTGACACTCAGCTCCCGAGAAGCACTGCCAGTACAAGAGCATCCGGAAATGAAGCTACATCCACGAGGTGTCAATTCTCGGCAATGGGTGAAAATACACTAATTGTCGGCTAACAGTACGGTTATTGATGGTAGCTTTATTAGGCAACAATGTTAGCAGTTCATCGGGTCAATTCCATTCATACCCCCCCCCCCCCGCGGTGTGTGCCAGCGTGATTACGATCATTGGTGTTAATTGATTAACACGCAGCTGTGCGCTAATTAATTAGCAGCATGGTACGGCCTTGTTTGCTATTCACTCGTTCTTCGAGTTACTGGGTGACGGTGGTTAGCGTGGCACAATGAATCCGGCTACCCGAGTTCGATTACCGAGGACCTGGGCATCCCCTCTCCACGAATTAGCAACGACCAGCGCGGTGAAGTATGGCCAAAAAAAACCATGATGATTCCATAGCGTGAAGAGGCTTTCGGCCAACAGTAGATTGATAAAGGGCTGTGCATTATTTATTATAACATCATCCGGCAACGCATATTTACACATTTCACACTCGCTCTGATGTGCTGGGTGCTTCAACACAATATGCACGCGTGATTGCGAGCGTGCATTGATGTCTGTAAATGCACGGTAGCGGAGCGTAGGTAATGATGACAATTGATGGTGATGATAGTGGTGGTGATGAAATGATAGGCGGGTAGGTAAGTTTAATACATTTGTAACCAGGTGAGGATCCACGCGGTTACATTCTCCTCTGCTGACCCCCCAAGTCTGTAACTCTTGTTGCATATATAAACTTCTTTCGCACCGTACGCACAAGCCATCCGTGCTTCTCCGGTTTAATTCCACGGCCGGGCTTCTTCCTACGAATTCCTGTCTCCCTGGCCTATGCCTCGATTGCCTCTTAAATATACACGCAGTACATCTGTAAATTGTGTCATCTGTAAATTGTGTCATCTGTAAATTGTGTCATCAGTAAATTGTGTACGGAGTTTATGAGATGCGGTTTCGTTTAGACCTGGGGTCGGCAAGCAAAACAACAAGAACAAGAGCCATTGTTTCGCAATTTGATAACCCCCCCCCCCCCACGCCTCTATTTCAAGAGCCGCAATGCATGCGAACACGAGACGGTGGTCCTTAATAAGTAATAATGTCAACAAGAAGCAGTCCTTCAAGAACCGCATGAGGTGCCGGAGCCCCAGTCGGTTTTGTATACGCCGTGTACATATGTATGGTATGTAAGACGCTGTAGACATACCAACGATGACTTTGTTCGGCTACTCGTGTTTACCGGGGGCTGGTGGTTTAACGATCGCAGAATCGGAAGAACTCCGCCTTCCGCCACTGGAGTGGATCGGACCAGTGCGGGGGACGCATCGCGAACGTCTGCGCGCGCTCGCTCGCTCTCTCTCTCCGTACCTCCTCGGTCTGCTCGCTCCACGCGTCGCCGTAGCGGCAGTGCGTGGCGAAGTGCTCGCAGTTGTTCCACAGCAGCGAGTAGACGGTGTCCCCCGAGTAGCTCTCGGCCCTCCTGGCCGCCACCTCCCCGGGCAGGGAGGCGCGTCGGCGCGCCCCCGCGGGCTCGTGGGCGAGCCGGTCGGCCGCGTTCACGAGCACCTGGGGCGCCCCGTACACGAAGTCGGCCACTGAGTCGACCCTGACGGTGCCGCGGCGAGCCACGGAGCCCAGGATGAGCCGAGTGTTGGTCACCACCTTGCACAGGAGCTGCTGGTCGCTGGTGAGCAGGGGCAGGATGTCGGGCAAGAAGTGCGCAACTCGGTCATCCCCCAGGTAGATGCCGAAGTGCGTGAAGAGGGTGCGGGGTACCTCCAGCAGGTCGCCGCGATTGTAGGAGGAGGCCGGCTCGGCTCTGGGGCGGTTCGAACGGGTCCCGGCCCCTACCGTGAACGAGGAGGTGGTGGTGGCGGTGGTGGTGGAGGCCGCCGAGGTGGTTAAGGAGGAGGACCTGGGCCACGTGTCCCCGTCGAGACGTTTCACGTGCAGGGCCCCGCGCAGCGCGCAGTGCACGGCAGGAGGATCCCCTCCTCGTTCTTTCTTGCGGATCACCCCAGCTGCCGCTGCTGACAACGCGGGCGAGGCGCCCATGGAGGAGTGCACGCCCGCGATCATATCACGGCTGGCGTGCGCCCTCCTGGATACGATGAGTCCGCCGGTTCGGTTCGAGTTCGATTAGTGTTGTCTCCCCACCGCACCCAGGTGGAGTAAAGCGGAAGAGACTTTGTCGACTTGCGCAAACAAATGTGCGGAGTTACCTTTACACCATGACCCGTGTCTTTCTCCCCACTCTGGAGCTTATCGGGCGGGCGAAATTTGGACGGATACGACAAATCTGGCCGCCGAACGAGATTTTCGTGGTGGAATTCAACTCATTGGCTTTAATGAGCGCAATCATAATGAGGTGCCTGTGTAAGTCTGTGCCGCCGCCGCGTTTATAACGGCACAAGGCGAGGAGCGTGTGCCGTTAACGCGACTGGGCTCTGGGGTGGCTGTGGGATTATTGGGGCTGGGGGGGGGGATGTTCGAGAGTGTACGCGCGGGATGGATGGCAGCCGCTGGGGAGGGTGGCCCTGCTCATGTGGTGGGGGTGGGTCCTGGGTGACCGGGGGACACCGCGAGAAATCGAGGCGGGTGGGAGCGAGTGACACGTGACCCACGTAATCGCAACCAGCCACCACTATCGCCATCGACCGTCACCTATCGATCATCGTTCGTTAGGCATCATCTTTTACTTTAGTCGATTCCCTTCCACTTGTATTTAACAACAAAGACAAAGATCCCACCCTTATAGCCGTAACCGACTGCAGGGGAAAGTGCTGTTAGCGAGCACCTTTAAATGCCGGCACGGCGCACGAGGGCGTCGGTGGCCAACACCACGCCCGGCCGTCTTTGTCTCCCCAGTGGCGATGTTTACACATCGCACCGGGTACTAATTTGAGGCCGAGTCGATCTAGGGGAGGCCCAGGACCGGTTCAGATAATCGTTAACAACACACACACAAAGACGTCCGTTGCGTGCGCAAAGATGTGCATTGCCTTGTACGCAACATGCAAAACTGCCACTTTTTCTAGTTTTTCGACAGGGCTTTTTAAATTTCGATTTAAAGCTTTCGTGACTGCAAGGATTCATCTTCTTTGGTTCTTTCGGTAAAGTCACGTAGAATGAGAATAAAATAATAAATTGATAAAATAAAATAACGCAATAATATTCTCACGACGTTTCGGCCACAACACAAGCGGCCTTCATCAGGTGAAGGGACGAGACTGTCTGGTAGGACAGCGCTGGAGTGAAAAAGCCACGCTCAGATCACGACCTTTAAGCTGTGTGAGAAGAAACAAAGCGCCTTGACAAAGGAATTAGCATATAATTTAGCATTGAAATGGCTGAGTGATTAGCTTGTGACTGGTCACAGAAATGGCTATGTTAAAGTTAAAGCATACACATCCGCAGAGGCACCCCTTGACATCATGTCCAGAATGTATTTTTTTGTTTAAACCAAATCTATATGTAGCAGTTATCGAGTGTGCAACCAGTAACAACTGCACCGGGCCCCACGGGGAGGTGGGCATATCATTCCTAACCACCAAGGCCCACGCCAACCATGCTTCGCCACTGAATAGGTGTGCATATATGTGGCAGTACCTGATACGCACATACACACACACACGGGGGAGAATTGTTCATTTGGACAATAAGCCACGACGTGTGGCGTTTGAGAACGGCGTGTCTGTAATAATTATTATCGTGTGAAGCCATTACTAGTGTCGCACACGAAGCACATTGCTATTCTCTATCCGAGAAAGATTCGCCGTGAATTCTGTAGTTTTTTTTCTTTAAAGAGGGTCCTGCTTCAGCATGTTTGGTCAACCCCCTTGCTGAGTGTTTGGTTACGTGGGAGGAAACTGGAGTACTTGGTGGGTGGGGGGGGGACACCCCAAGCATTTGATGGGGAACAGGATTTAAATCCCAGCACAAATAGATTAAAACCACAGACTGACCAAATTCAGTGAGTTGAGCAGATGTATCTGCAGAGTACACCCACTGCTGCACTGCCATGTGCTGCCAACTCGCAGCTCTTGCAGTGTACGCCTACACAAGTTAGCAAGCCCTGAGGATCAATAATGCACATGTCTGTTCTGTTATTCTGTGATGATGGGGGTTTTCTCGTGAGATTTCGTTACTGTTGGAATTGGCTAAGCTAATGGGGACTCCACATACACGACTCCCAGAGGCAGACTTCTGCAGAAGTGAGTATTGGTGACTATACTGCACCGCTGATGAGTCCGAATGAGCATGACACCGATCCACAGTTGCCTATCACTGCATCTCCGTTGCTGTCAGTTGGTCAAATTTATTTTGTTGCTGATCTCAGACAAGAGAGAGTGCACTTCTTTAGGAAATGTTGATCGATTTTTTTTGTCGTTCTAGATGTACATTGGGGCCGTGTGCTTTTTACGCATTGTTTTGAAATCATTAAAGCGCGTCTTTAAGCATGTTCGAAAATCATGCTTGGCTTCCGAGACGTTACCAGATTGGATGCATTCAGTGTGGTTTGGTCGTTGGGCACTCCGATTGTATTTAAATATCTGAGGTGAGAGGACGTATATTATGAATTCATAGTTCATATCTGTCAACCCATATTGTTTCCCTCGTATCCTGATACAGGGGAATTGAGTTTTCAGGTTCATACGGCGTACAGCCGTTTCAATGCGGGCAAAATGTTTTATTGTCTATTTGTGTTTCTTTCTTGTGATGGGACTTTGTGGGATGAACGTTGAGTTTTATCAGGGCACGGGCTGGCCAATAAGGTCTGAATTGGTCTGTAATAAGGTAGGCACTGATAAGTGGTTGACAGGTTTGATAGTTTCCTATAACCCCTCGGCATGCTACCAGACACTAACCACGTGCTCGGCCAGGAAGGTGGCAGCTGCCTCAGTTGTGTGAGTCTCGTGCAACACCCGCTACTGACACATAAACTCTCCCTCCCCACATCTGAGAGCAAATGCATACAGCAAAGCCAAGTTATAATGATAATTTTCCATAATCCATTTATAGATACCACGCCACAGCAGTACAGTATGGAGAACATTTTAATATTTTGATTAAGGGTTGTTAAGCATGGCCTCCAGTGCAAGCGGCACATTGTTCGCAGTTGTCGGAATGTTTAGTTTACAATTGTCATTGAACTTGTGTCAGATTTTGCAATACATTTCGTGAGGACATTAGTTTCCTTTCATGGTGACGCGTGTTCCCGTTTCCCGTGTGTCTGCGTGTGTCAGAGTGAATTTCCCACCCAGACCACCACCACCTTCCTTGTATGTTCACGTGTAAGATACGGGAGCCACCGCTCTCATAATATTCATCACCTGTTGAAAGGATGGTAATTATAAATCAATGGGGTATATATAAATGGGTCGCCCTGCATACTCTGTATATATCCTTTATTCAATTGACCAACATTCTCCCCGTGTAACCATTTCCTTGTTCTAGATGTCTCACTCTCCACTCAGGAGCACATTGGAGCTGAAGTGAACGGAGTGCTGATCTAAATTTCGATTTAAAGCTTTCGTGACTGCAAGGATTCATCTTCTTTGGTCCTTTCAGTAAAGTCACGTAGAATGAGAATAAAATGATAAATTGATAAACAGGCGAATTTAGCATTGAAATATTTCAATGCTAAATTCTCCTGTTTGATTTGTACTTGGTGCCTCGGTGAATGTATATGCTCTGACTTTAACATAGTTATTTCTGTGACCAGTTACAAGCTAATCACTCAGCTATTTCAATGCTAAATTATATGCTAATTCCTTTGTCAAGGGGTGCCTCTGCGGATGTGTATACTTTAAGTTAGCTATTTCAATTCTAAATTCTATGCTAATTCCTTTGTCAAGGGGTGCCTTTGCGGATATGTATGCTTTGACTTTAACATAGCAATTTCTGTGACCAGTCACAAGCTAATCACTCAGCCATTTCAATGCTAAATTATATGCTAATTCCTTTGTCAAGGCGCTTTGTTTCTTCTCACAGCTTAAAAGGTCGTGATCTGAGCGCGGCTTTTTCACTCCAGCGCTGTCCTCCAGACAGTCTCGTCCCTTCACCTGATGAAGGCCGCTTGTGTTGTGGCCGAAACGTCGTGAGAATATTGTGTTATTTTATTTTATCAATTTATTTTATTCTCATTCTACGTGGTGACTTTACCGAAAGAACCAAAGAAGAGGAGTGCTGATCATTCACGGATTTGTGAGGCCCTTCCACCAGCATTGCACACTGAACGTATGCATTGAATGCGGGATACAGTACAGTACTATCTCCCGCACCGTGGGGTATATATAAACGGCTCACACTGCATAATGTCAAATAGAACCAAGATGTCACGCAGGATGTGGGGTAGGATTGTCCTTTACTATGAGCACGATGGTGACACGCACTCATTCTCGGGATAAGTCAAGTCGATTTATTTTGGATCGGGCCCATTTCAGCTTAGAAGCTCTTTTTCAACGGCGATCCGGCCAAAAGTCAAAGATTGTAACAAAATGAAAACGACGATTGTAATTTGAAGTTTTTATCGCGTTTTTGTTCTTGTAAAGTTATTCCAATCGGCATAAAGTCAAGAGAAAAAAAAAATCTGTACCGAGCTCCCGCAGAGCGCTGAGTCGCCCTGTGTTGGCCCGTGGATGGAGATTTCACAGAACTCTTTGCAACACAGACATGTTAATCGCACGGCAGTTAAAACAAAATTTCACATTTTTGAGAGCTTGTAATGTTAGATAAAGCTTGTGACAAATCGAATGTGAATTTTTTTTTCCCGTTAAGTCATTGGGTAACCAGACTGACACAATTAACTTGCTGCACTGGAGCACCCAGATTAATAATGGATGGCTGCCCAGAAGCAAGCTCGGGATTGCAGTTATGCTGGCTCAGTTCCTGTGAACTCTGAGCTGCTCCGCCATCTCAGAGGCTTGTAATTTTGTTTGTGCTGCAGTGGCAACTGTTTGGAGTATCTCTGGGACTTTTTTATGCCAGTATTAAGATGCTAAAAAAGAAAAGGCTTTGGTCTTTTTTTGGCAATAATACAGGGAGTGTTCAGATGTTCAAACATCAAATAGGCACCTATTGGTAGGCATTATCAAGTCTGCATTAACCGCACAAATGTGCTCTCTCTGATGTAAGCCAATCAGTTTCAAAGACGATGCATAGATTATTATCAAATCAAGTATGTGTGGTTAATGAAAGCTTGATGCCTTGTAATTGGTCGCTATTTGGTGTTTGGAGTACTTTGTGTTTCGTGGTCATGCTATTAATCATATATTAAAAAGTATATCATTCGTTCGTTTCTCACTCCGCTTGTCCTGGTGAGGGTCGTGGCAGCATGTTGAGTAGGGTGGTCCAGACCTCCCTTTCCCTGGCGACAGACTCTAGCTCTTCCTCGGGAATTCCCAGGTGTCCCAAGGCCAGCCGAACGACATAGTCCTGCCCAGTGGGATGTGCCCGGTGGAGTTCCAGCTGGAGTCGATCGGGGGACATCCTTACCAGATGCCCAAAAACACCTCAACTGGCTCCTATCGATCTGGAGGAGCAGCGACTCGACTCTGAGGCTCTCCCAGATTACCGAGCTCCTCACCCGATCACGGAGAGTGAGCCCGGGAACCCTACAGAGGAACCTCATTTTGCCCCCTTGTGCCCACGACCCCCATCCTTTAAGTCATTACCCAAAGCACATGGCCATAGGTGAGGGTGGGAACATAGATCGATCTGTAAACCGAGAGCTTCATTTGAGAACTCATCTCCCGCTTCAATACCACGGAATGGTACAGCGCCCACATCACTCTGGATGCAA